GGATAGGTGCACCAATTGTGACCCTACCTGGACTGGGAGGCCCTTCGGATAGTCACCCACACCCTCGTCACCTCAAGACTGGATTACTGTAACGCGCTCTATATAGGGCTGCCCTTGAAGAGTGTTTGAAGACTTCAGTTAGTCCAGAACGCAGCCGCGCGAGCGATTGTGGGTGCACCTCGGTACACCCACGTTGCACCTATCCTCCGCGAGCTGCACTGGCTGCCTATTGGACTCGGGACGTGCTTCAAGGTGCTAGTCGTTACTTTTAAAGCCCTACATGGTATCGGACCTGGGTACTTGAGAGACTGCCTTCTGCCTCCCAAAGACCGATTCGATCGCACAGACTAGGCCTTCTCCGGATACCATCTGCCACCCAATGTCAGGAGTGGGCAGCATACAAAACCAATAAAATGAAATGAAATGAAGAGACATATATCCAAAAGTGCTTGAAAAGTGGGAATGAGCAAACATATCTTTTGTGACTCCTGTTGTAAGTTCATGAGTGGCAATCTTGAACAAGATCCAAGAGAGCTGGAAACAAGCCAAAAACATACCTTGGTAGAGAAAAGCTAGATGTCAAAGAGACTTTCACTGTGAAACTTGACAAACTGTTTGACATCCTCATCTCCAAGTATCAAATTGTGTGTGCCGAATTCGGTTTCCCTGCTGGCTGCAAAAAAGCTCACATTAAGTCTATGTTCCCTAAGGGCAGGAAGATACCATTGAAGGAACTTACTTTTGTTAAAGCTCAGAGGGACAAGATTGGTTCTTTTGGATCGCACTAGATTGGTTTGCCAGGTGTGCCCAAGCAGAAATGCCATTGTCAAAGGGCAAAAGTGGCAAGATGATGGAAGTCAAAGGCTCACTAAATATAAACAGAAGTATTCCAGACATTTTGATACTGACAAATGAAATAATTATGCTGAAGATGAAGAATAGATGACTGATGAAAATGTTATGGAAGTTATGAAGAGACTTTAGACCAAACACGTGCCCCGCTATTTCAAAGAAAAGACAGAATACAATAGATTAGAAATAAC